CCAGTCCCAGCCCAAGAGAAAAAGGCCCAAAACTTTGAGCCCAATTCCAAAAATTTAAACCTCGTTCACAATTCACAAATCAATCACGACTCCATCCTCTCCTCTGCTCGCCTACTCCGCCTCCACAGCTCATCCACTAACCACTGGTTTGCAGCCCGAAGCCTGAAGCTCCGGCATCTTCGCACCTCGCACCTCAAATCCAGCATCTTCGTAGCTCCGCTCAACAATCATCGTTCACAACTTCCACACAGAACTTCGCAGCCTCCGCAATCGCACGCAGAACTGTAGAAGGTAGAAAATACTTTTCTTTTCCTTTCTTTTCTTTTCTTGTTTCTTCCTTGAGAGTTTTTTTGTGTTGGTTGAGAAAAATGAAATCTTTAATTTATGCGATTTGGATTTTTCTCCAAGCTCCAGCCTCCGTCCCTGTCTGCAGTGGCCTCTCTGTTCTCTCCTCCCCGGATCAGGTATTTTCTTAATTTCTTTAGCAATTTGATTATTGGTGATAGTAGCTTGAGTCTTGACATAATATTGGAATTGTTCTTTGATAAAATAGCTACATTTTGATTTTTGGGTTTTGTTGTAGTCTCCTTTTTCAATTCTGTAATTTCTAGATCATGTCCATTCAATTTCTGCTATTACTACTCCTCTATCCGTTGGAGAGGAATAAGTTAGAATAATTTTGTTACTTATTCCATTATTAGGTTTACTTAAGGGTAGATCATTCGAGGTTTTAGGTTTTGGTATTTTACAATAATTGGTGTTCAGTTAATCCTATTATGTGTCTTTTCCCGTGTCCTTCATGCCCCCTGAGATCGAGAGGACACATAATTATCTTGTCTGATCCAAATGCAGGCCACTTCTTTACTGATGTTCCCTTTTTTAACCAGATTTTGGCTGTTTGAGCTATACTCCGGCATAATTAAAGTCAAGTAACGGGGTCCGGATGACTACTCCAATAAGCACAAAAGTTCATTAGAGTTTGGTGAACTTAATTGAGAGTGTTTGACTTTATTTTACTTGATACTTGATTTGGTATTAACTTGCTTTTACTTTTGCTTTCGGTATTAAGTTATTGTACAATGGTAGTATGAAAACTCGCAAAGAACAAGTATAATTTATAAACTATACCATTTTTAGTATTGTCGTAATATTGTTTTATTTTTTTATCTTCATTAAATTCATGACCAAAAAGTCAAAGTTCGGAGTCGACTAAATTGTGCCCACCCCGAACCAATTTCCTGGCTCCGCCCCTAACAATAATTAAATTTAATTATAACAACAAAATACCCAATAAATTTGGATTTTATAAATAATGAAAATTGTTTAAAATTCTACGAAAATAACGAAAAAAATATCTCATACGTAAATCTCCGTAATTGAGTAATTATTTCTCATGAGATTGACAATTGGGACTCGTTAAGTTGTAAGTTATACATGCGCTTGTGGTACACATTTTTTAGCAAACAACATGCCGATGTCATTTTTGTAAGTTAGTGATCAAAATTCGACCACCTCAAAGTTTCGTTAGCAATCGAACAAGTAAGCAATCAAAAACATTTTCTAAAATTTGGTGAACAATAAAAGACACTTTCTTACGTGACAATTTGATAACGGCATGATGAAACGCCACATATGCATTCCGTTAGCCACATTATTAATTTTGTTAGAGGTTTGAAATGAACGTTATGTCTGTAAGTAACATCCAAGGTTTGAATAAGTTTAATGATCAAAACTCAACATTTTTAAATTTAGCGGGCAATTGAAGACAATTAAATGATTGTTGGGACAATTAATTCGTGAAACTTAATAATTGACAGGTAGCACTAAAAAAATATAAATGTAGGGCGCCACGTAGCCCTAGGGATGGGCTCTCTGCATTCAAATTTCAACATCAGTACAATGTTCGCCGATTCTCATTATAGTCATACAATGCATTTCTTATTGCACAGGTTTTGGGGCCCACAAAATTGACAATTTTAGCTCATATTTGGTACACATTAAAATTTTCATTTTCATTCTTCTACTCATTTTCAACCACACATTCTTCAATAAAATAATATTTTTCATCACATCAATAACTTTTCATTCTTTTTCAACCACAAATTCTCCATCAATCTACTATTCCAAAATACATTTTTCTAAAATAATGTGGTTCAAACACACCCTTATAATAAGTCACTGTTCAAGCCACACTTTTGTTCTTCTACTCATTTTCAACCATACATTTTTCAATAAAATGATATTTTTCATCACATCAATAATTTTTCCTTCTTTTTCAACCACATATTCACCATCACATCACAAAAAAAAAAAGTTTTTTCCATTTTAATGTGCATCAAACACACTCTAAAAGTATAAACAATTTGAAAATTATCCCCTATTTTGTCACGATTTTATAAAATTCATTTTCAACAACATATAAAATCAAGAATGTTTTTAAACTTTTCAATCACATATTTTATCAATTTTTATCAAAATTTACTAAAATTTTAATTTTTATCTAAACAATATAGATACTAATTACTTCTCTAATTTATTAGTAAAGTATCATATTTTGTCGTTCCATAACTACCAAATCACCTTTTTAGTAACTATTAAGCTCCCGTTTGAAAATCATTATTTGGAAAAAAAAAATGTTTTGAATAATAATTTTTAAAAAAATGTGTGACTAGGAAGCAATTTTTTTTTTTTTTTTTGAATTTACGTACAAAATATTTGATTGTATAAATATGTGATTGAAAATAAGTACGTAAAACAAAATAGTTTTCAAATAATGATTGTCAAACAATGTTACAATGGCTATGTCCTATGAATCTCTTAAACCCCTATTTGATTGTCATTTTGAGAAAATTGAGTTTTGAATAATGATTTTTTGAAAAATGTGTGGTTAAAATATAGGAAAAGTTTTAGATTTATGTGCAAAAACGTTTTATTGTATAAATTGTGATTGAAAATACATACGAAAAATAAAGAACTTTGAAATAATGACTGTCAAACACGGGCTAAGAGTCTTGTAAAATCTTATTTTCCTATAAACGTGTTAAGAAAACAAATGAAGTCCCTAATTTTTACCTCTATTTTTTTAAAAAATTCTTTTTAAAATAATTTTCAATCACATGTTTTATGGAATTTTCACAATTTTTATCAGAATTTACTAAAAAATTAATTTTTATATATATCAAACGTTTGCAAAGTCAGAATATTTTACTTGTCAAAGAAATGATAAATAAATTGCAACTATACATGAAAATAAGATAGTGTCTGTCGGTTGTAAGTACAATTTGGTTTCAAAAAGTCAACCTAACCTAAAACTCATTGTTCTATATTCAAAATTGTTGAAACATTCTCTTCCGTGACTCAATTAAAAGCCCATTTAATTGTATATTTCTTGAGAATATGATTTATTTATTTTTTTTGGAAGAATATACAGTTGAAAAGTGGAGTAAAATTAGAGTAATGTTATTCATCCTCACTGGGGATGAAAATACAGTATATGTGACTTTAAATGATAGGTTAAATGAAATGTGAAATTAAATGATTTATTTAATTTCAATGATTTATTTAATTTCACCTATCATTTAATGTCACATTAACGCCACCAGAATTGTGTTTTTCGGATGAATAGCATTACTCCTAAAATTAAGAGTGCACTTGCAAAACTATTTTAATAAAAGGACGAGAAATTGAAAATAAATTTTAAAAAGATGAATTTTAAAAAAATTGTACCAAATATAAGTATGAGTAATGTTATTCATCTCCACTGGGGATGAAAATACAGTCTAGATGGTGCTAATGTGGCATTAAATGATATGTGAAATTAAATAAGTCATTTAATTTCACCTTTCATTTCACCTGTTATTTACAGCCACCTAAACTGTGTTTTTATCCCCACTGAAAATGAATAACATTACTCTATAAGTATATATTTGACTTTGAATAAAATAACGTTGATAATGAATACAAATTACAAGTAATTTATAATACTTCAAAATATATAGAAAAATGTATTTGATCGATTAAATTACTTTTTATTTGCATATTTTTTAAATTTCATAATTTGTACTTATTTATTCATCACTCATTTTTATCGATTCATAATTTCATTTAGCAACTCAGGTTTACAGCTATGATCGAATTCAACTAAATGAATGCCTCATTTACTCCAAGAAAGCTTTTATACTCGTCAAAAATTCATACTGGGGGAGTAATTGCAGAGGAAACAGACTGAAGAAAACGTTAAACAAAACATTAAATTATTCTCTGTGAGATTCTTTGACACATTTTTCTTTGCACGCAGAAACCTGAAATTTTGACAGTACTAAATTGGGCCATTTTCATCTTCACATTTTGCTCAAACTGCTCTTTAGACTTCATTTTCATATCCTCTCTCTGTCTCTGTAAAGTTTTTTATTTATCTCCTTTTCACATCCACTTTGTTGCTTGAGGTGGGGCCTTTTTATTATTTTGGGTTTAGTTCACATCACCCTGTTCTTGATTCTGCATCTTGAAAAAGGTTTTATGTCACAACCAGGTATATATATATTTCCTTTTTCTTTTCTGTGGTCTGTTTTCTGCAATCATTTTCTTGCAATTTACACTTTCTTGACGTTACAGTTTTTCATTTTCATGGGTTACCCCACCCCCACTCCTATACCACCACCACACGGTACCTTGTTTTGTGTTATTACCTTTTACTGTTAACATAACAGGTGGGTGGTGCGGTGCCGCGTTGTACCTACGTACATGTGCTGTGTTCTTTTGTTGTTATGTCGGTTTTAGCTTATGAGTTATTTTAAGCTTTTTGCTTATGCATCTTAGCTTTTTGGTTGCTAGAAACTTGTAGTTTTCTCTAATTTCTGGAGGCTTTTCATCATTCTCTAAAGATTTCTGATCGGGTTGTTGCAGATTTGATGCTTTTGCTTGCACTTCAGAAACTCTAGTGAACATTCTTGGAAACTGTTATTTCATTATTTTTCTAGATTAAAAAGAAACCTTAAGAAATGGCAGGCGGAGCAGCACCAAAGGCAGATGAACCAGCGCCACACCCACCAAAGGATCAGCTTCCCAATGTTTCCTACTGCATTACCAGTCCTCCTCCATGGCGTTAGTTTCTTAACATTTTCGTAATATATTTTTCTGTAATTCTTTCAGTCTGTAGTATAAAGTGGTCGTGGATTCTGTGGGTCAATTATAATTATCGTTTTCATTTAAAAAGTATTTTTGGGTGCAGGCAGGATAGTAATTTTCTGCTTTTCATTATAAGCTCTGTGTATACGCTATGACTCTTTCTGCCATTTATTTTACTTTTTCTGGGTGGTCTTGGAAGGAATGGCTTGTTTTAGCATATCCATGTTGTTATCTATGGTCTGGGTGAATTACTAACTTACGGGTTCTGATTCTTGCAAAATTTGCCAATCTTCAACTGTTCAATCTGTTTTGCTATTGCATGATGCACAACTGAACTTCATTCTACTTTTCCATATACTGGTGGTCGTGCTATATGCATTATGGGGTTTGGAGAAAAATTGGATAACAGAAGCAATTCAATTATTCACCAGATTGTATATATGGTATTTAGAATGGATTATGGGGTAGTATGCTTTCTGTTTGGAATCTGCCATATGCTTTGGTATGATAGTGACTTATAAAAGATGTTTTTTTTTTTTTTTTTTTACAAAAAATCACTTTATGAATGTCCTGTTAACGTATGAATGACTGTTTTACCAAATACCCAATTTGGTACTTTTATTACAAGTTAACATAAGATAACCCAGCATGATTTGATGCAACTTTGTTACTGTTAAAGGCTTGCTATATTATTATTCTCAGTTAAGATATAATGTCACTCTATTGTGATGCCTTCTTCTTTGATCATCAAGAATATCTAGGTATAATGCCATTGCAATTTTTTAATTGTTACTGGATATTTGTTGAAGATATGCATGCAAAGATGAGGTCATTTTTGCATCTTGTGTTTGTAAAAGTTTTGACAAAATGGACATTTGTTTGCAGCTGAGGCCATTCTTCTTGGATTTCAACATTATTTAGTGATGCTTGGCACAACAGTGATCATACCGACTGTTCTGGTCCCTCAAATGGGGGGAGGAAATGTGAGGCATTAGAATGCTTACATGCAGTTCAATTCTATACACTTCTGTTGTGTCTCGTTGGTATTCACTGACCTACTCAAATACATACTTTTCTTTTTTTTCCTTCCAGGAGGAGAAAGCTAAAGTCATTCAGACTCTGCTATTTGTTGCTGGATTGAACACTCTGCTGCAGTCATGGTTTGGAACCAGATTACCTGCTGTAATTGGAGGGTCTTACACCTTTGTTGCACCCACAATTTCAATTATCCTGTCTGGTCGATGGAGTGATCCAAACCCTGAATCGGTTTGTGTTTTTGATCTCTAGCCCAATGTTTCAGTGAGAAATCCATTAGTGCTAAGGCTATTGAGGCTCAGGTCTCAAGGCATGGTTTTCCAAAGGAAGAGCAAACCAGTATATGATCTGCCCAGGGTTAGTGGTGATATAATTTGGTTCTAATGTGTTTTACCTTTGATGATCATGCAGAGATTCAAGAAGATTATGCGGGCCACTCAGGGTGCTCTTATTGTTGCCTCAACTATTCAAATAATCCTAGGCTTTAGTGGGCTTTGGCGTAACGTTGCAAGGTCTTTTTTTGTTATAGAATTAATGTGCTTGCCTCTTAGTTTCATCCGTACTGAGAATATTTGAATCCTTGTATTGTCGCTGTAATATAACTGGTCAGTACTTGAGTGAATCGTTCTTTTACAAACTTGTTAATTGGCGACAATGTAATGTGTTTTTAAGTTGTAATCCATCTTAAACTTCTGCTCTTTTGTGCTTGTACTAAATTTGGTTTACTGAGCCAAATTATCTGTCCTATACTTCTTCACTCTTCTTGATCATGTTACTGCAGTGTAGTAATTTGCTGTAATAGATACTATTTATACTCTGCACGTCTGTTTATATGTATTGACATGGTTAATTTCTCATAGATACAATTTCTTGTGGATATCATTTATAGTCTCATGCTGTTACATGATATCTAGACCATATTCTAATGCAGTATTTTAAGTTATAACTAAGTCGCTATGTCTGTATAATGCAGGTTTCTGAGTCCACTTTCAATTGTTCCTTTGGTTTCTCTTGTTGGTTTCGGGCTCTATGAGTTTGGGTTCCCTGGGGTACGTATGGATCTTTACAGGGCCTCCCTCCCTCCCTCCCTCAGATGACTTTCCTCTGCACACTTTTTATTTTTGCACACTTTTAATTCTATTGGCTATTGATTTTCACTAAAAGAACTTGTGATGGTTGTCTAGGTTGCCAAATGCGTTGAAATTGGATTGCCGCAGCTCATCATTCTGATTCTCTTTTCTCAGGTAGCATTCTTTGGTACACTTTTCTATCATAATCGCTTTCCTACTTTTAGTATCCCACTTCCATTCAATATGTTCGTTGATCAAGTTTAATGTAGTTTACACCAATATGATTTTGTATTTACAAGTATTAGGATGGAATTCAATTTGCACATGGTTGCAGCATTTGTCATGTATATTTCCTCTGTTTTCCGCTCGATATAATATTTATATTCCTGTTATTGCAGTATTTGGCCCACGTCATACGCCCAGGAAAGAATATATTAGATCGTTTTGCTGTTATATTCTCTGTGGCAATAGTATGGATTTATGCCTATCTACTTACTGTGGGTGGGGCCTACAATGGGAAGTCACCAAGGACCCAAACAAGCTGCAGAACAGATCGTGCTGGACTTATTGGTGCTGCTCCATGGTAAGCTGAGTTTTTACTCTAAATGATAGTGATAACATTTTTGGTCTTTGCAAACTGTATCAAGTAAATTTCATGATGCACTCAATTATTCTATCTATTTTAAAAGGAGATTGATAGGGTAAACATGTGATGCATAATTTTTTTGGCTCCTTCTGAGTGGATTGTTTAATGGCTATCATGCACTCTAAGTCACTTCAATGATGGTTGTTCGGAGGATGGCAAACATTTGTCATTGTGTATGAAGAGAGTTCTGGCTCTATTTGTATATGAGTGCAGTAATTGTTCACTGGATTTCTCGGGGACTTTGATTGTACAGAGCCTTCATCATTTTCTTGAAATATGGAATGAATTATTTTGAGCCATTCATGTTCCATGGACCTTAAAAGTCGATTAAATGAGTTTTCCACTTGTGCCTTGATTATTATAGATTTACATAGAATTGGAAACAAATTGTAATGGCAATACATGGTTTGGTACTATCAAAATGATGGGCACCTTTTTGGCATTATACTTTGGATGTTTAGCTTATTCATAGAGAACAATTTTATTATTAGTGGTACCGGGACATCATGATGTGTGGTCAAACAGAGTTTAAATGGTTTTGTTTGGTTTGCTTATGCAGGATAAGAGTTCCATACCCCTTCCAATGGGGAGCACCTTCATTTGATGCTGGTGAAGCCTTTGCCATGATGATGGCTGCGTTTGTTTCTCTCGTAGAGGTTTGTTTTCGTCTTATCATTTATCAGAATTATTAGAATTTCATTTTCTCTATTATTTCGGTGAACATTGGTAATGGAATTGTAGATTTTAGTCAGTTCACTGTGTTGTCCTCATTTTATAATATTGAGATGTATAAATAAATCTGTCTAGCTAGGAAGTAAGGCTCCTTTAGGCTGCCAATTGTGACTCGTTTGGGTTACCCAAGGTCGGTTCATTTTTTGAGTACCTTTTTCCTCTGGTCCACCTCTTCTCCTTGTATTTTCTCATTTTTGACTTGTCGTCTTTATTAGTTCTATTTTCTTTATCTTTTAATGTGTTCATCTTTCTCTCTCCCTCTAATTCTCTTCACCTTGATATAATATACCTAATTTCACAAATATGTCTTCCTTTCTCACATTTTCCTCATGTTTAATGTCATTGAAATGTCTGACTTCTAATATTTTTGATGTGCCGTGGAGAACAGACTATCTATCATTCCTGGACAAGTTGAATGCTCCTTTAATATTGGATAGTTGCTTGATAATTGGGTGGAAGAGATGTCATTTTCATTTCTCTTCTTTAGGTTAAGGGAAAAGGAGCATGGTTTATTTGTCTTCGCTAGCTTGAATTTCTGGTTTGAAACCCAAAATCACGATGGAAAACTACAAAATTAAGAATATAGCTAACTCTTGTTTTTTCACATGTTTTCCAATGTTAAATGCAGTCTACAGGTGCCTTTTTCGCTGTCTCAAGATATGCCAGTGCAACCCCAATGCCACCATCTATTCTCAGCCGTGGTGTAGGCTGGCAGGTATATAGAGCATCTTACAGACCGCTGTCCGACTCCACCTCCACCCACCAAAACATATTTGAAGAGAATAAGTGAAACAACAATAAGAACTACCCTTTGTTCCCCATAAACTTGAAGTTGGCTACACACACCCAATTTCACCATGCTCGAGCTGACCTGCATTTGCTGAAATGTCCAATGAATCTAGAATGTTTCGTTAACATGAAGTCATTTAATTTTTTTCTAACTTGCCCTTTTAACTTCCCTTTTTAACATGTTCTACTTGGGATTGCATGCATCATTGTTGTGATTTATGCAAGGTTAAGATTATTGCCTGAACTGAATTGGTTGCATTGTTCATGCAACAAAATCATCTTCTTTGGACATTGCAGATTCTTAGGAAACAATATGTAGTGAAATAAAAGATCGCTATGCTTGATTGATACATGTTGAACACCACAAGAGGCACAGAATTGAGATTTTTACGATGATTGATATATTAAACTAATGATTACCTTTCAACTATACGGCTCAAAGTCATAGGGGCCAAATGCTCGTTTATCTAAGTTTTAAAATCGGAAAAAGATAATGTACGTGAATGTGCAGTTGACTAATAAAATTAAGAATGTGTGCTCTATACTCCACCTTCCTCCCATTCTCTTGGCTCTTTGGTATATTTTAACATGTTGATTCTTATAAACTCTGTGAAACCTGCAGGGATTAACAATCTTGCCAAATTATTTAAATAACATCCACACTAAAATAATACTCCCAAGTAAGATGTCAAAGTGAATAGTCTGTGAACATTTGATGTCAAATAAACATTCCAAAGTCATTTTTGGTTGTGGATTTGGAAGATGAACTGCCCAAGTCTTTCTGTTTAATTTCTGATTTATCTTCACTGATAAATTTTATCCCTTTGCTGGTAAATGGGTGAATAATTAAGTTTAGTAAAGATATGTGAACACTTTTTATGCTTTTGAAAGATAACTGGAAAGATGATGACATTTGCACTTCATTATTCCCGTTGAGAATATCCCTTGTTTTGCTTGGTCATTTGGAACATAAAGCTCCATCACTGAATGATTTTTCTCATGACATTTCCTATTAATATCAGAGCTTTTGATGGTAATTTCAACATATGGGCCGACTTTGAGAATATCTATTTTTGGCCTATATTGACTTCTCAGGGTGTTGCCATCTTATTGTCTGGGCTGTTTGGAACCGGGAATGGGTCATCAGTTTCTGTGTAAGATACTTATTTTTTCTGCTTTTTTATTACTTATAGTCAGTTCCGTCATAACTTTCTTCTGATGCTTTTCTTGGCTTCCATACAGTGAGAATGCAGGCCTATTAGCGCTAACTCGTGTTGGTAGTCGAAGAGTTGTGCAAATATCTGCTGGATTCATGATTTTCTTTTCCATTCTCGGTAATTTATTTTTTCAGATTTTTGATCATTGAAGATGCATTCTTTCCCATGTCTTAGTTGAACAAATATAACCATGCAGGAAAATTTGGAGCAGTCTTTGCCTCCATCCCAGCACCTATCGTAGCTGCTTTGTACTGCCTTTTCTTCGCCTATGTTGGTATGTGTATACTATCTAAACCATATCTCATTACTAAATTTTGGTAACCTTTGATTCGTGTGATTTGCTAATAATGTGGATCATGAATATACAGGTTCATCAGGTTTAAGTTTTCTTCAGTTCTGCAACCTCAATAGTTTCCGGACCAAATTCATATTGGGTTTTTCCATTTTTATGGGTTTGTCTGTGCCTCAGTACTTCAATGAATACACTGCTATTCGAGGCTTTGGTCCTGTCCACACATCGGGTAGATGGGTATGCACAAATTTAACCAACTACTGAATCTCTTCAATATTTTAGGGTTAACTTACAAAAACATGATTCTTTATCTTGGTCAGTTCAACGACATAGTCAATGTCCCTTTCTCGTCTGAAGCTTTTGTGGCCGGTATAGTGGCATATTTTCTGGACAACACGATGCACAAGAAGGATTCCCAGATAAGGAAAGACCGAGGCAAACATTGGTGGGACAAATTCCGTTCCTTCAAGACTGACACGAGAAGTGAGGAATTCTATTCCCTTCCCTTCAATCTCAACAAATATTTCCCATCTGTGTAATTATTGGGAGAATGGATTTCCTCGGATTTTGCTCTTACGTAGTTCTTAAACTAATGTGTGCCAAGAGACTATTTTGACCATTGAAAAGACATATAAATAGCTTGGCCTTTTGAAGAATATGTTGGTTTATGTATCTTTTGTTGCAAATTCGTCAGTTGTATATACAAACTTATGACAAGTTTGCTGCTTTATATTCTGAGGTTGTAACCTCAGTTTAGCATTTATGGCCTAGATTATGAGCTTGGCCAAACGTGCCGTTGTCATCCTGATTATTAACACATCATTATGGTCCTCATGTCATCAGATTGGAACCTAATCGAGAGGATCTATGTATTGGCACCAGACAGAAAGTCACTGTAGTTTTATAGGTTACATGAAATTCCTTGCATTCCAAAATTGTGAATTATTTGAATAATGTTATCTAGCAACACAACCTGTCTTAGATGGCACTAGAATATTTGACATATTTAATTGAATTTGTTTAGTGTCATTTAATGTCATGTCGATTGGCGTTTGTGTTGGTTTAAATTTTCGAAATTGTTGTAGAAAATGAGAATTTCCAAAATTGACTTGCTAAAGAGAAGAACAGAATATAACAATGTAAACGAGTATGAACAGAAAGCATTAAACGAGCAAAATATAAACCTTAAAACAAATACAGAATTCGGAATGAGGATGAACGAGGCGAGACCTAGGCACACTGT